CTCCCCCATCTCCCGAAAAGTGGGCGCATGCTGCAACAAGTAAATCCCATGTACTGGACGGGCTTCTTCTCCGCGTGCATTGCGATGAACGGCGGCCGTGCGCCCCGTCCACCTCCGCCTCCCCACAGCGGCATCAAGCTCTGTGTTTGTCTCAGCGGGTCCAACAGCACTTCGCCGACTGCAGCAGCTGGCATGCCGAGTCGTGCTATATTGGCCCATGGTTCTCGTACTCTAGGAAGCGCGGGCGCTGGCGGCGCATCCAACTCACTTCCGCGCCCGCCTCTTGCAAGTCACTTTTCCCCCCCATCGTTCCTCTGCTCGGCCCTTCTGGCTCTTGCCGCCAGCTTCTCGAACGGGGCCACTTGCTCGCGGCAGCGGCGCCATTCCCCGGTCGACCGCCGCCTTGCTGCGCTTTTCCGGCGGCTGGGGGGCAAATTTGCGGAAGATGGCTAGGATCAAGGGAGGATATGCCACCCGAACTTCAACACTTGGCGTTTCTTACACGGCCTTGGGCGTTTACTGAGCAGCCCTGCCCTGTTCGATTCCTTATTTGGGTGCGTTTACTAAGCGGCTTCGCTTGTCGGGATGCTTTTTATGAGGGTATTTTGTCTGCTTCTACAGGATTGAGGAGGAGGAGAAGGAAGCGGAGGATGGGGAGGAGGATAAGCAGCAGGATAATCAGGAGGAGTAGGATAAGTGATGAGGGAGAACTGGGGATGAGGAGGTTGATGAGAGGATGAGGGCGGCCAGGTAAACCCAAGATGCATCAACGATGCTGCAGCACAACCTCCCGTCCCAAGTCCCTTCTTCATACGTCCTTGCGAGCTTTGGTTTTGTACCATTAGAGGCGCCCCCCCCAACTTCTGAAATATCAGCACTACATGTGCCTGCCATGTTGGCGAGGGCCCCGTTTTGAGAAGGAAGTGCCTTGCGTCCTTCGGGTGCAGAAGTCGAGAACCAGCAAAACGACGACCGTACAGTCCGACGACGTGCCCAACGAGTTTCTTACCTGTCTGTGAAGAGCCGGTAGGTGCCAGGCTCGGCTGGCCCCGGCGGTCCTCAGGGTTCCCCGATGTTGTTTCCCTGCAGAGGGTTCCTCGGGGCTCCCCCGGGTTCGTTTCATTGCAATGGGCTTGGGTTCCCTGGTCTTGTTCCTTGCCTTCCTTCTTCTCGGGTTCCCCAGGCTTGTTCCTCGGGTGCCCCCAGTTTTGTTCCTTGCTTGGGTTCCTCATGCTCCCCTGTCTTGTTCTTTGCTTGGGTTCCTCGGGTTTCCCAGTCTTGTTCCTTGGGCTCCCTGGCATTGCTAAGCAACGCCAAGCAACGCCAAGCAACTCGAAGCAATGCTAATCCATGCAAGGCCGTGCTACGCAGTGTCAAGCAGTGCCAATCAATGCCAAGCAATGCCAAGTAATGCTGAGCAACGCCAAGCAGCGCCAAGCGGTACAAAGCAACGCCAAGCGACGCCAAGCAGTGCCAAGCAGTGCGCCCATGCAGTAGGGCGCTTTCCCTCATTGGAGTCGCGCTAGGCTCATCGCCATTTCGAAGAAGGATACTTCCGCTCGTGCATGTGTTGCACAGGTCTACACTTGTGGCAATTAGTTCTAGGAGCGTTCATTTTGAAAAGGAGCCGCCTTCGATCCGTGCAGTGCGCTGACATTCCGGATCTTTAGAGGCAAGGACGTCTCAAGCGTGAGCCCCGTCGTCTATGGTGGAAGGTATGGCAACACGTTGAGACGCAGTTGCGCGGCGCAAAGGCGGGTGCCCGCTCTGTAAGCGACCCGTCTTCCATCCTTGAACTTGTTGCAACATCTTGGGACAAATAGGCTCGGTGCTAAGGCGATCGCCCCACTCTAAAGACGACCCGCCCCCACTCTCGCAACTGCTGCAGGAAGTTGAGCCGAGTGTGCGCGGCTCGTCCGCCATCCTTGAAGCTGCACGACATGGTGAAACCTACGCGTGTCTTCTTAGAGGACGGCGACAGCGTCACGTAGGGCAGAGCCCTCCTCCATGTAATTACGCGGCGCTCAGGTTGAGAGTTCCATTTTGACAACGACCCCGACCCCACCTCTTCCTTCAAAAATATCAGCGAATGTGCGTGGCGCTTGGGTGACAGTCCTTCTTTTCAAACGAAACAGCCTCTTACCATTAAAGCGGTCGGGAAGTGTTCAGACGAGCGTGTGCGGCGCTGAGGCGAGCGCCACAATATGAAAACGACCCCATCTATCCTTGCAATGGTTGAAGTATGTTGGGACGGATATGCGCGGCGCTACTGCGAGAACCCAATTTTGAAAACGGCCCCTCTCCATGTCTGAAACGGTCAAAGACAGCTCAGGCGATCGTACGCGGCGTTCAGGCGAAAACCAGATTTGCAAAACCACCTGTCTTCTATCCATCAAGCTGTTGCATATTTTAAGCTCCTGGGTCATAGGTGATGGTGACGTCTCAGGCGGAACGCCCGTCCCGCCCTAATGTCACGTCTGGGGATGCGGTATGGGGGGCATTGTTTATGAGAGCGACTGATGGAGAGGGAAGGAGGGAGCGGGGAGGAGGGAGGAGGGAAGGAGGAGTGAGGAAGGCAGGGAGGAGGAGGAGGCGGAGGAGGAGGAAGACGAGAAATGTTGCTGATGATGCTGATGACGGTGGTCGTGGTGAGGATGACGAGGACAGGTGGTGATGAGGACTGGGAGGATGAGGAAGAGAAGGGGGGAGGCAAAGGTAGATCGGATGAGGAGGCGTTTGATGAAGCATCGAGGATGAAGAGAGACGTTGAGAGTGATGGTGATGATAGTGATGGTGATTTTATCCAGCTGCCTGCGGCAAACCCAGCCACCGTGCCAGCTCAGCCGCGCAGCGTGAAGGAGTTTGAGTTAAAGACCCACTGCAATTAACTGCGTGGCCTGAACTCCAGTGTCTGAAACTCGACCTCGTTCCCTCGAGTCTTGGGGGCCTCTGAGAGGCCTCCTGGATGGCCTCGTTGGGACGCTTCCTGGGCCGTCTTTGGCCATCTTGAGAGCCTCGTGGGCCGCCCTGGGGGGCCCTTTGGACCGTCTCAGAGGCCTCTGGAGCCGTCTTGGGCTGCGGGATGCCCGAGAAGGCGGGAACGCAACACGCTGGACTGGGGCTTCTTCGAGCCTTCTGAACCTCTTGGGCCCTTTTTGGGCCTCGTTGGGGGCCCCTTGGGCCGTCTTAGGGCTCTCTCGGTCCGTCTGGCGCCCTCGGGTGCCGTCTTGGTGGCCCCCTCTGGGCCGTCTTGGGGTCCTCTTGGGGCGCTTTTGCGATGGCGACGACGATGTTGACGATTGTGATTCTGATGGTGAGACGGATGCTGAGGATGATGATGATGCAGATTATGCTGATGATGGTGCTGCTGATGCTGATGCTGATGCTGATGCTGATGCTGATTCTGATGATGCTGATGATGACCGTGATGACGATGCTGATGATGATGATGATGATGATGATGATGATGATGATGATGATGATGCTGCTGATGATGATGATGATGAGGATGTTGATCATGGTGACGATGATTATGACGATGATGTTGATGATGACCATCCTGAAACGAGTGAGGGTAGTCATGATGGCGATTATGATGATGTGGATGATGCTGATGATGATGCTGATGCTGCTGCTGATGATGATGATGATGATGGTGATGAGGCTGATGCTGATTTTGATGGTGATGGAAATGGTGTCGATGTTGATGATACTGGTTGATGATGGTGATGATGGTGGTGGTGCTGCTGCTGATGAGGATGATGATGCAGGTGCTGATGGTGATGCCGAAGCTGATTCTGATTATGATGAGAGTGAATGTGGTGATGCTACCATGCTGCTGTTGGTGATGATGGTGATGACGGTGATGCCGATGCCGATGATGATTGGTGATTGTGATCAGGATGCTGATGATGATGTTGATGATGCTGATGATGATGATGGTGGTGGTGGTGGCTGTGATGACGATGACGACGATGATGATGATGAGGAGGAGGAGGAGGACTATGATGATGATGATTATTATGATGGCGATGGTGATGACGTTGGCGATAGTGGTTGATAGTGGTGATGATGCAGATTCTGATGATGACGATAGTCATGATGGTGATGGTGATGTCGTTGGCGATAAGGGTTATTGGTGGTGGTGCTTATGAGATGCTGATTGGGATGATGATGATGATGAGGATGATGCTGATAATGATTATGATGACGATGACGATGACGATGACGATGCTGCTGCTGCTGATGATAATGATTCAGATGCTGATGATGCTGAGGATGCTGATCATGTTGGTGATGATTCTGATGATGGTGATGGTGGAGGTGATGATGATGCTGATGATGACGATGATGATGCTGATGATTCTGACGATGCTGATGAGTATGCTGATGATGATGATGATGATGATGATGATTGATGATCATGATGATGCTGGTGACGGTGGTGGTGATGATGGTGATGATGATGATGATGCTTACGATGTTGATGATGATTTTGATGATGATGATGATGATGATGATGATGGTGGCGGTCGTAAGGACGATGACGATGAAGCTTATGATAATGGTGGTTATGATACTGTTATTGCTGTTGTTGGTAATGGTGACGATGATGATGACGATGATGATCATGATGATGATGCTGATGCTGATGCTGATGATGATGATGACGATGCTGATGATGATGATGATGATGATGATGATGATGCTGATGCTGATGCTGACGCTGACGCTGACGCTGATGATGATGATGATGATGATGATTATGATGATGATGATGATCATGATGATGATAGTGATGATGACGACGATGATGATGCTGATGATGACGACGATGACCTTGGTGATGATTTTGGTATGACGATGGTGATGGTTAGGGTGATGGTGGTGATGATGATGATGCTGATCAGGAGGAGGAGGAGGAGGAGGAGGAGGAAGAGGAGGAGGAGGAGGAGGAGGAGGTCCCGCTCCCTCCTCTTTTGCTCGCTGCCTACCGCCAGGATGAGCCGGCCTCGTTCAACCTCAGCCCAGAGTTCTCCATTTTTCCGCAGTTCATGTGCTCCCTCTCGCGCTGCAGTCACTGAGGAGGCGAGGGAAGGAGCAGTGGAGGTGGAGCAGGGAGGCTGTCTGCTGCTCGCACGAGGTGGGAGGGGGAGGTCGGGACGCTGGAGAGGAGGGGCGAGACAGGAGAGGAGGGACGCCGGAGGAGAGGAGGGACGCTGGAGAAGCGGGGTGCGAACCCGAGGATGCGGGACCGCCCCTCTGCGCCCTGGCGATCTCGTCCCCACTCGCCAGGGGCCGCCGATGGGGTCTCCCGTGTCTCGGCATCGCTCGGACGTGTGCATTTTTTCTCGGCGAGAACCTTTTGGGGGTATGTTGGGAGTATTTTTTATTTTTCGTCGAAAATCCCCCTGTAGGGGGACGCGCCCGACATAAGTCCAGGGCCTGGGGTCCCGGCGTGCGGCGTGGGCGGGCTCGGGCGGCGCGGCTCCGGGGGGCCCCTGTCCTCGGCCTCGCCTGGACGTGTGCATGTTTTCTCGGCGGGAACCACCGGGGACCCTCCTGGACCCTCGAGCCAAAAAAAAAACACGCACGGAACAGAAACATGCACGGGAAAGGGACGTCCGAGCGACGGCCAGTTGTTGGAAAAGCAGCACCCTCGGGGGTCGCCTCCGGAACAAGAAGAAGAAGAAGAAGAAGAGTCACTTGTGCTAACGGAGTTCCCCACACAAGGATATCGAGGGCTTCGTGGGATCAACGAGGCAAGATAACAGCAATACCAATGGTCGCCTCCAGAGAAAGAAGAGTAACTTGTGCTAACGGAGTTCCCCACACAAGGATATTGAGGGCCTCGTGGGATCAGCGAGGCAAGATAACAACACTACGAATGGAAGGGCCATCGCGAAAGTACAGGCGAAAGGAACGGCAGGCGGAGGCAAGGAGGGGGAGCAGCAGGGAGGAAGACGACGGCTGCTCAGGAAGCGCGTTCGTCCCTGGAGGAGTGGGAGGGGCGCGAAACCTGATAAATAACATGGTTTTCGAATCCCCTCCTCGCTCAGGCGGGGCCTCCCTGGAGGAGTGGGAGGGGCACGAATCCTGATAAACAACATGGTTTTCGAATACCCTCCTCGCTTAGGCGGGGCCTCCCTGGATGAGTGGGAGGGGCACGAAACCTGACACCTAATCTTGTTTTCGAATACCCTCCTCGCTCAGGCGGGGCCTCCCTGGAGGAGTGGGAGGGGCACGGAACCTAATAAATAATATGGATTTCGAATACCTTCCTCGTTCAGGCGGGGCCTCCCTGGAGTAGTGGGAGGGGCACGACACCTGATACATAACATGGTTTTCGAATACTCTCCTCGCTCAGGCGGGGCCTCCCTGGAGTAGTGGGAGGGGCACGAAACCTGATACTTGCTATAGTTTTCGAATATTCTCCTCGCTCAGGCGGGGCCTCCATGGAGGAATGGGAGGGGCACGAAACCTGATACTTGCTATAGTTTTCGAATACTCTCCTCGCTCAGGCGGGGCCTCCATGGAGGAGTGGGAGGGGCACGAAACCTGATACATAACATGGTTTTCGAATACCCTCGTCGCTCAGGCGGGGCCTCCCTGCAGTAGTGGGAGGGGCACGAAACCTGATAAACAACATGGGTTTCGAATACTCTCCTCGCTCGGGCGGGGCCTCCCTGGAGTAGTGGGAGGGGTACGAAACCTGATACTTACTATAGTTTTCGAATACCCTCCTCGCTCAGGCGGGGCCTCTATATGGAGGAGTGGGTGGGCACGAAACATGATACATAACATGGTTTTCGAATACTCTCCTCGCTCAGGCGGAGCCTCCTCGGAGGAGTGGGAGGGACACGGAACCTGATACATAACATGGTTTTCGAATATTCTCCTCGCTCAGGCGGGGCCTCCCAGGGGTGGTGGGATTAGGGTTCCCCCCAGGAGGCCCGAAAAGGCTCAAACATTGGTCACATCAATTATTTTGGCCTTCTCGCCGAAGCCACCTTGGACGCTCCAACTACCCGCGAAAACGCCCCGTCCAGGTCCAGGGGCAGTGGGTAGGGGGACGGGTCAAGCTACTCTCCCAGGTAGCAGGCCGTCGAGCTCACTCCCGCCCACCCAACACATAAGCAACACCCGAGTGTCAGCAGATCGCCCAGGCACGCCACATGCGCGCCACGGATTCCAGGTGTGCACCAGGCACCCCCAAGCGTGCCAGGTGCGGCGCGTGCTCCACGTGCGTCATGTGTGCCGCGTGCTCCAGCCGCGCCAGGTGCGCCAGCTACGGGGAACCAACAGGGACCCTGGGTGCCTGGAGCCCTGGCCCCAAGGATTTCAGGATCTTCAGTACACATGAAGCGAAGTGCCAAGCATTTTGTGAGAAGGGCGGCTCCTCCAGGGAGCGCAAGGCACCGACATCGATGGAAATATTGTGACATCCAGAGGAGTCGTGAAACAGGTAAGATCTCAGAGAAGAGGACCCTGCGCATGCTCTGAATTCGAAACCAACTTGTATCTTCTATTCTTTTGTTGCAGGTATGGTTGGCCTGTGCGCAGCAAGCAATCTGTTGCACCCCCGACGTCCCTGTCAAAAACCAGAGCCACGTGGTCGCGGGGCGCCCGCGCATGCTCCAAATTTAGAGACAAAGTGCGTTATTGCTTTTGCAAGGGATGGTGGGGGTTGTCTCATTGGTCTGGGATGGCTGCCGGTCGCATGGGGGAGGTGGTGATTATTGATAGGGAACAGTGGTGAATCCCCCCCGATGGGGAATATTGGGGTTGGAGGAGGAAGCTCGGTAAACCACTCACGATCTAAAGGGCTGGTGGGACTTTGTGAACTGAATGTGCGCGAATGCGGAAGCCACATCGTGAAAATGAGCCGCCCTTCATCTACACATGCAACCGTCGCGCACTTTGAGACGAACGTGTGTTGTGCCGGGGCGAGGGCCACATTTCGAACATTACCTTTTCCAGCTGCGTGCATGTCGAATTGTTGGAACGAGTGTGCGCGGCGCTAATGCGAAAGGCACGTTTTGAAGATGATTCGCTCTCCATCCGTGGCACTGTTGTAAATTCAAGCGTCAGGATATATCTAATAGGCTTCGGCCTATCCCGCCCCCGTGCCTGGATTGTGGGCCAGAGTCCACAGGGATGCTTCCCGGGGTCTCTTCGGAGCGTCCTCGGGTGCCTGTGGGGGGCAGTTTTGGGGCCTCTTGGAGGCCTCTTGGGGCTTCCTGGGGGCCCCTTCTGCCTCTTGGGGCCTCTTGAGGGCCTGTTGGGGGCGTCTTGGGGCTTCCTGGGGGCCTCTTCGGCCTCTTGGGGGCCTCTTGGGGGCTTCTGAGGGGCCTCTGGGAAGCCTGGGGCTTCCTGGGGGCCTCTTCGGCCTCTTGGGGGCCTCTTGGGGGGCTCTTGGGGGGCCTCCTGGGGGGCCTCCTTAGGGGCCTCTCGTGGTCGATGGGGGCTCGACATGTCCGTGCGGGGCCGTCTGGAAGGCTTCCTGGGCCGTCTGGGGAGGAGGAGGAGGCGGAGGAGGACGAGGAGGCGGAGGAGGAGGAGGCGGAGGAGGAGGCGAGGAGGAGGAGGAGGAGGAGGAGGAGGAGGAGGAGGAGGAGAGAGGAGGAGGAGGAGGAGGAGGAGGAGGAGGAGGAGGAGGAGGAGGAGGAGGAGGAGGAGGAGGCGGGGGATGAGGAGGAGGAGGAGGAGGAGGAGGAGGAGGAGGAGGAGGAGGAGGAGGAGGATGAGGAGGACTAATGATGATAAGACGAAGAAGAAACAGACGAAGTTTATTAAGAATGCGAATGCGAATGCAAATCCACATAATAATGCGACTGCTAGTAGTAATAAGAGAGAGGGAGAGAGAGAGAGAGAGAGAGAGAGAGAAAAGAGAGAGAGAGAGAGCGTGATCCACCGCCGCTTTACTGTGGAAAATTCCCCCCTTTTCCTCCAGAACCCGGGGTTCCCCCCCCTCCGAAAATCCCCCCCCCTGCCCCCTCCCCCGGCAAAACCCCCCCCCCCTCCCCCCCCCCCTCCCCTCGAAAACCACTACCGAACCCCCCCCCCTCGAAAACCGGAGGGGGGTCACTACCGGTTCGAACCCCTCCCCCCCCCCCTCACCGCCAGCAAACGACTCCCGGTCCCTACCACCGTCCGCACCACATCCCCCACTGTTGTTCCCAGCACCACTGTCCTCACCACCACTGTCCCCACTGGTTCCACCACCGTCCCTACTGTCCCCACCAGTGCCCGCCACCACTGTCGCACTGTCCCCACTGTCCCCACCACTGTTCCCACCACGGTTCCACTCTCCCCACTTTCTCCACGGCCCCAACCACTGCCCGACTATCCCATTGTCCCCATTGTCCCACTGACTCCTCCGCTGTCCCACTGAGCTGTCCCACTGTTCCTACCACTGTCCCCACTGTCCCCACCGCTGTCCCCACTGTACCTCTGTCCCATTGTCCCACCGCCGTCCTCGCCACCGCCTTCACCACTGTCCCCACCACCACTGTACCCTCCACTGTCCCACTGTTTCCACCACATTCCCACTGTCCCCACACCACTGTCCCCGCCACCACCGTCCCCACCACTGTCCCACTGTCCCCACTGTTCCCGCCATTGTCCTCACCACTGTCCCCACCACTACCGTCCCCACCACTGTCCCACTGCCTCCACCACTGTCCCGCTGTCCCATCACCACTGTCCCCACCACCACCGTCTCCACCACTGTCCGCACCCCCCCAGGTTTTCGAGGGGGGGGGCGGTTCGAACAGGTAGTTACCCCCCCCGGTTTTCGAGGGGGGGGGGGGGTCGAACCGGTAGTGACCCCCCCTTCTCATGATGGACTGCCGGGGGGGGGGAGGGGTTCGAACGGGTAGTGACCCCCCCCAGTTTTCCGGAGGGGAGGGGGGGAGGGGTTCGAACCGGTAGTGACCCCCCCAGGTTTTCCGCCAGCAGCGGTAGAACACGCTCTTTCTAATAAGACAAAGACGAATACGACGAATACGAAGACGACGAACCAAATTAATAATGCTAAGACGAATAAGACTATCATGCAGATTACTAATAAGAACCATCATAATAATACGTGTAGTAATAAGACGAAGAAGGATAACCGTACTACGGTAAGTAATCGTCATACGAGTATTACTAGCACTACGAATGCTAATACACACTTGGTTAGTAATAGCAGTGATAACATAAGAAAAATGATACTACCCATAAAAGCATACTACTACTACTCCTACTACTCCTACTACTCCTACTACTCCTACTACTCCTACTGCGACTACTACTACTACTACTACTACTACTACTACTACTACTACTACTACTACTACTACTACTACTACTACTACTACTACTACTATTACGAATGCTAAGAGGATTAAGGCCACCAGGGATAATACTAACTGCGAATGCGAATACTAACAATCCGAAGGAACATAATACTATTAATAATAAGAGGAAACATAAGAAGATGAGGAGGAGGAGGGGGGAGGAGTGCGGGGGATGAAGAGGAGGAGGAGGAGGAGGAGGAGGAGGACGGAGGAGGAGGAGGAGGCGGAGGAGGAGGAGGAGAAAGCGGAGGAGGATGATGACTAATGATAATAAGACGAAGAAGACGCAGACGAATACGAACCATAATGCGAATGCAAGCATAAATTATACTATGAATATTACTAGTAGTAGTAAGAAGGCGAATGCGACGAAGACGAAGGCGACGAAACGTAATGTTAATACGAAGAAGGATAGCGTGATTCATACTAATACCAACCATATTAGTACGTATAGTCATACGGCGAAGAAGAACAATCACACCACAACAACGGATACTGATAGTTTGGTTGACAATACTAATGCTACTACTCATAATACTACGATTAAGAATGTAATAATCTTACAAGTGGGGAAATAGCCATACTATTATTATTGTTATTTACCAAGCAGAAGCTTGATACCAATGCGGGCAATACTAACAATGCGAACAAGAATAATCATACCACGAAGAAGAATACTCATAGTACTAGCAATAAGAAAAGCAATACTAAAAAGAAGAGGAGGCGGAAGAGGCGGAGGAGGAGGATGCGGAGGCGGGAGCAGGAGGGCGGAGGAGGAGGAGGAGGGGGAGGAGGAGGAGGAGGAGGGCGGAGGATGAGGAGGGAGAGGAGGAGCAGGAGGAGGATGAGGAGGAGGAGGGGGCTGAGGAGGAGGAGGAGGAGAAGGCAGAGGAGGAAGAGGAGGAGGAGGATGATGAATACTAATAATAAGGCGGGGAAGAAGCAGACAAACAATAACAAGAAGACAAACGCTAATCCACATAATAATGCTTACAATAGCAGTAAGAAAACGAATGCGACGAAGACGAACACGACGAATTCTAATAACAGTCACACGAAGAATGATACTATGAATGCTGATAATATTAACCATCATCATAACACGTGTAGTAATGCGACACACAATAAGCATAATACGAATACTATTAAGCATTGTACCAATAACGGCGGTACTACTGCTACTAATATTAGTAATACGAATAAGACGTTAAGGCATACCACGACGACTCATAAGACTGGTAGCAATCGCAGTAAGACTACTACTAACCCTAAGACTAAGCATATTACAACCAACGCTGGTAATACTAACACTGCGAATGCGACTACTTATACTACGAAGGACAATGCTGCTAACATTAACACTACGAATAATAATAATAAGAAGAAGCAGCGGACGAACAAGAGGAGGAGGAAGCGGAGGAGGAGGAGGAGGCGGAGGAGCAAGGAGGAGGAGGAGGATGAGGAGGAGGAGGAGGAGGAGGAGGGGAGGAGGCGGAGGAGGAGGAGGCGGCGGAGGAGGACGAAGAGGAGGAGGAGGAGGAGATGGAGGAGGAGGAGGCGGAGGAGGAGGAGGAGGAGGAGGAGGAGGAGGAGGAGGAAGAGGAGGAGGAGGAGGAGGAGGAGAAGAACGAGGCGGAGGAGGAGGATGAGGAGGAGGATTGCCCTCACCCCCCCCGGGGCCGTTTTGGTGCTCTCGTGGAGGCATCTTGGGCCGTCTTGGGGCGATTCTGGGGGCATCTTAAGCTGTCTTGGAGTGTCGGGAAGCTGAACTGGCGAGGACGCCACGATCCTTCAACGACCTACGTACAATCATTAACTTTTGCATCTTTGGGCCCTCGTCGGAGGTCTCTTGGGGCGTCTTGGGGGCAGCTGAGGCTGTCTTGGGCGTCTTGGAGCGATTTTTCGGGGACTCGGGGCCCTTTTAGATCGCCTTGGGAGCCGCTTAGGGCACTCTTGGCCCGTCTTGGAACCGTCTTGGGCTCGAACAAGTCACGCGACAGGACGCGGAAAGCCCCAAGAGATCTGAGAACTTGGGGCCTGGGCCCTTTCAATAATCCGCAGGATTGAGGGCTGAGGCTCCAGAAGATCGAGCAAAGGACCTGAGGACACTCCAACTCGTGCCTCAAGGGCACGGTTGCGGATACTTCGGGAGGAAGT